GACCATGTGATAAGTTGGACTATCGAAGATTAGGACCATATATCATTCAGAAGCAAATCAATCCAGTGGTGTACCGTCTGGAATTACCGACTTCTATGAAGGTACATCTAGTCTTTCATGTTTTTCTATTGGAGCCTTATTGAGAGTCGTCTTTTCCTGGAAGAGTGCAATGTCTGCCACTTAGTATCGAGATCGAGAACCACAAGGAATACGAGGTCAAAAAGGTGTTGGATTCACGGCGAAGGTGGAACAAGTTGGAGTATCTTGTCCATTGGTACGGCTACGACATTAATGACCGAACGTGGGAGCCAGCTGAAAATCTCGCCAATGCACCACAAAAGGTATAGGAGTTTCATCAACGACATCCTCATAAATCCAAGCCGGTTCGACGATAGCTTCTTTCTAAAGCTTGCTCACTCAAGAATATAAGAAAGGGGGAGAGGACCACCAAAATTCATAGTTGATGTAGTTATTTCTTCAATAGCCATAGTTTGGTCCTCTAATATGAATAACCAAGAGATAGATACTTTGCCAGTCAGACTATCTCAACCGACTGACTCACGAAGTAGACCTCGAGATGAAGAACCACGTGCACCACGACGACGGCAGAGGATACCAAGTAACCGATCACTGGTGATTGCATTTGAAATTGAGCTCGCTTATGATGGTCAGCCAGAAGGCGTGTTTGCAGGACAATTTCACAATGAGGATATGGAAGTTCATGCATGGTCAGAAGTCGAAGGCGTGGGCTACTACCGTTGGCTTCAAGGGTCGATGAAACACTTACCTCGTGAACAACAGTTGGAGTTCATAGCAGACGTTATGTAACAGATCTTCATTTTCTTGCGTTGGAACTGATTAACAATAATATTGCTTCTCAGAGACCTCGAAGCTAAAAGAAGGGGTGATGTTAGAGACATAGTCTTTAGAACCTTCTAGAAGGAAGTCTTTAGAACCTTCTAGAAGGAAGTCTCTAGAACCTTCTAGAAGGAAGTCTCTAGAACCTTCTAGAAGCTTCCTAGTTGATGGAAGTTACTTGAGAAGCTTTCTAGTTGGTGGAAGTTACTTGAGAAGCTTCTTAGTTAGTGGAAGTTACTTGAGAAGCTTCCTAGTTGATGGAAGTTGCTTGAGAAGCTTCCTAAATAGGAGTACATATTGGGATCGAGGCTGAAGAGTTCTTCAGTCTCGACAACACATCTCTTGCAGCTCTAGCTCACCTCTCTGGTGTTGTTCCTCTACTCATTTGATTAATCTAGTTCTTGTCAGTTCTTCTTGAACTTCTTGTTAGATTTCGAGTCTGTATTTCTATGTTCGTGACATATTTATAGCAAAATTAATATCAAGTCATTACGTCATTGAGGCATATAAAAGTTTGCCAATTATTGATTGATAGTTTGTTTTATTAGTTAATAGTTGATTTATATCTATTTGAAGTTATATAGTAGAATTCATGGAAATTTTTGCTAGATTACAATTCATCATATTAAATCAATGGAATAATTTGTTAATATATTTTTCTTAACAAAGCAATATTTTAGAACATTTTTATTTTATTTTTGCTTTGTGATCTACAATAGCTTCTCCAAGTTTAGTCACCTCAAAAGTTTGTAAGAATTGAAGTATTATCTTTTATATTTCTTTAGTATTATTTCTTATAATGATGAAATCATCCATATAAAGTAATATAATTATATATAGGCTATTTTAAATGGAATAATATAATTTATAATTTTCTATATTTTTTATCAAACCTTTATTCATTTGATAGAAATCAATTTGAGAGAACCATGCATGTGCACTTGTTTTAATCCATATAAAGCATATATCAATCTTTAGACTTTTTCTTGTTATATTGTGGTTTAGAAGCTAGGAGAAATTTGTATATATATATATATATTTAATATTCTATTTAACTCTAGTTCTTTTATATTGTAAATGCAAAGATTTACTTGATAGTATTCTATGTGACAACTAAGATACAAATGTCAAAATAATCCACCTTCTTGAATTTGTTCAAATTTTCTTGTAATTAGTCTTGCTTTTTGCTTGTCTAATTTGATGTTGTTTCTTGGTTGGACCTTAAAAATCCATTTTGATGTAATAATTTTTTTTCCTTTCAATAGATCAATAATTATCCATATTCCATTTTTTGTAATGGAATCTACTTCATCATGTATAACTATTTTCCAATCGCAATTTTCAATAGCCTATTCAGAGTCTTGTGGTTCAAAGTGCTTTGCCAAAAAGTGAAGTGATTTTTCAATCTTGTATTGGATCTTTGATCTTAAAAGGGATATCAACATTGTGTAGATTCTTTAGTCAAAGTTGTATTGGATTATGTTCCTATTTCTTTATAGAAAAAAGGTTTTGTTTCTTTAGATGATGGCAGGCTATAGTGATTAGCTTGATGAAAATCCTATCTTTCAATCAATGGATCCTATGGACAATAGAGTCATATGATCTATTTTTGCATCTGTCTCTATAATATAATATGGTGATGTTTGATTCTATTTTTGTTGCATACAATATACAATTTTCTGAGTCTCCATGATGTTGACTACCATTGTCTACTGCTTTCGCCAGTTCACCATCCTCATAACAGCTAGAACTGCATTTTCCCAGGAAACATAAAATCCAATGTGCTCGGGGTCCTGATCACTGATCAAGCATATCTTTTGTTAGCAAAAGGGGTTACCTAGAATATGTCACCGACACCAGGTAACCAATTACACCTCTTCGAAAAAAATCCGAATTGATGTAGGTGATTAATCGGTGTCACATTCTTTGAAGAAAGGGGGCTTTCAGGGTCTTGTCAACATGCTGCCAGAATGCAGGAAACGCGAAATTAATTTTTGAATACAATGTGGAAAACTGTAGTCCTTACGAATCGTTCTTCCTGATAGTTTTCATGCTTGGTGTTCAATAAGCTCTTCTCTGCGCCAAATAGGAAAAGGGCTGCTTCAAGGCATGCCATTAATGCCCATTACATGCTTTCTGAAAGACCTGCACTTTTAGACTCCATTAAAGGGACCCTATCAACTGCAAAACAGATCACATTTGGAGTGATCGATCAGATGATATTAAAACGGAGAAGTCTGCGAAAAGATCAATGGATAAAGTACTTGACGCTATTACATAAGCTTCGTTCTCAAGTACCAGGAACTCTCTGATGCCAACAGGGTCTGAGTGAAAAGAAGTTAAATCCAATTTGTTAGAATAATGCATGGACAATGGTTCAGCGATATTAAACTCATGAGCAGATAACGACTGGTTCAACAGGTTTTACTAACTTACATTCTTCACGTAGGAAAGAAGATACGTTAACCAGAATCGCGTTACCCAGAGCCTCACGCTTGAATGGAAGTTAACCCCACAGTATGGCGAGGTATTGATACTAGGGTCGTGACCGCTACATCGACCCCTCTTGCGCCTCTAGGCTGTTATGAATGTGTCAATTTCATGGGCCATCTCATTTTAACAACTGAACGTTTCTAATTGAATTCCCGGAAAGCAGGGCTTAGGCAGGTAATCCCACTGTTTCGTGCAAAAAGTGTAGAGGAAACAAGGGAGGCACCTCTATGACCAACGGACAAATATATGGAACTGTTGGTGATTGGCATTGCCGCTACTATTGACGATGACTGCAGGAATTAACTCTGCGCTGCCTTCCGTAGAGACATCCTCGAGATTGCACCACCGTCCTTTGGGCAGCAGTGTAGATGAGCAGCTTAGGCTCAGAAGTCGTCTCACGTCGTAAATCCTGCATAGGAACACCCGAGAATTCGCATTGTGTGGCATTTCCCACTCGCACTGGTTCGTGCAACATTTGTACTCCCAGTCTCTGTGCGAGAGTCCACGCTACTGGAAATAAACATGCCTTCACCCAACTTCGTAACGATTGACTACGATCTGAAAGAGAAAACGATTTAGACCATTGAAAGGTGAAATGCGAAGGGACATTTAAGCAGGGGGAAAGCTCGAGCGAAGGACTACAACAATGAAACTTGCCTACCTGCATGGCGCTGTGAGAAGGCATGGGTAAGGACAAAACCACGAGTGTCAGGATGACGAAAAGTTTCCGCACTCGGGACGGTCAGTTTCAGTGCCACGAACTTTACCAACTAGCTATCTAAAACGTACCTTGAATGGACAAAGCATTCAATAAAAATGAAGGCGAGGCTCCAGCCTTACGTGGTTAGTGGATAATGGTCCTGCCCTTCCGCCGTGACAAATCTAGCACCTTACGTGCACGATTTTGTGGAACATTGAGCTTGGGAGGTGGTGTATCGATTTCTGAGACTGGAAGCGTGCTTTCAGAAGCTGTAAGCAGGCTCAGTTAGAACCCACTCTCGGCGCTCATGAAAGCTGCCCCGTAACGCAGAAGTCGAAGGCAGTCGCACTAATATTTCGACATGTGAACGTCGGTGCAGCGGCTGCCGAAACAGGGTTTTATTACTGTACTCGAGATCTACAAAGAGCTTCAAAGTAAAGCAAAGAAAATTCGGGAAGACAATGGTTGCAACACCAGGCACAATTCCTGAACTGCGCATCGAGATGATCGAAGACAGTAAAATGAAGCTTTTCTTCCAGCCTGACTGCTTGGCTCTTGAGAAGGGGTATATGTATATAAATAGAATAAAACCAAGCATGTCTACACGAGATACTGTGTACGCTTCTTTTGAACATTATCAAATTATCTCTAAAATTACTTTTTGATCAACTCTACTACAAGTTATGTAAATTACATCCTGATAACATGTTTAGTCTTCAATAACTTTAGACCTGGTGCCTTCGGGATATGTGTGTATGTCTGTTTATATATATATATATGTATATATGTATATATATATATATGTATATATATATATATATATATATTCGCTGGTTTCGCTGTGCGGAATCTGAAGGGAAGATGCTGCGTCATTGGTCAACAATAGTCTCCGTGGTCACTAGGACAGCGCATTACAGATCCCCAGGTATGGAAGATCCCAAGTGGCTTGCTTCTCCTTTCGCCTTTCCCCCTTTCACGACGAGCCTTCTTGCGTGCTCTTGGTGGATGGACTTCAAGCCTTCTCCCAGTGGGCACCGCAGAGGTCTTGTTACAATGGCTGGAGCAAGCTATCGAGTGAGAGGATCGTCGAGGGAGGGACGAGCTACTAGAGCAGAGAGGCGACTAGCTCGGTTTGAGGCCAATCAGCCGCTCGTTTCTGATGGCAGAGTCATAGTTGGGGCTAGTGGTGTGCAAGCTAACGCTTCTGCTTCTTCTCAGCGGAAAGTGGTGCACAGGAACCGAAAGTGCGGTTTGATCCCATCAACGAACATGCGCCTTAACTTTAAATCATCTTCAGAGCCTGCTGATCTTCAACATGATGGGATGGAGAATAAGATCGATAAATCAGAAGATTTCACTTCAGAGCTGGAGAGTCTGGTGGATCTACCTCAGCTATCTCCCAGTTCGTTTTCTCAAGGTGTTCGTCGTGAGGAGGACGAAGCGTTTAGCCGGTGTGCAGACTTCACCAAAGGGATCGAGATAATCGTGGAGCTATCCCACCTGCCGCCCTCCAACTTGTCGTTGCAAGCTGGCGATTATGATTAGGGTGAGGCAATCGGCGATGGCCAAGACTTCGCCGACGGGCTGGAGCCCATCGTAGATCTCCCTGACGTAAATGATAACTTCATTGACGTTGAAACCTCCGCTTCAAATAAGGTTCTGAATGCTGACACATTACTAATGCAGATGTGAGGAGCACTGCATCGTGTAGTCTCGACCGTTCGTAACTGTTTCACGTTCTGATGTTGTGGCAATTTTTTGTGGGCAGACTGCGACGGGAAAAAGCGAAAGTGGTGCTGCAAGAGAGTTGATCCATTTTTTGTTCTGTTCAGGAGGACAGCCTGCAGTGCGTAGGTTAGTCTCAATTGTTCGCCGCCAGAACTCTAAGTTGTGGGTGATGTGTTGTGGGTAGATTATGTGAAGAAACTGAAAAGTCATTGAAGCAGGCCAAAAAATAATTAAAATTGAATTTAAAAAATAAATAAATGGATGTGACATTGCACGAGTGGTACTTTTAGAGTTCAGGGGTTGAGGGGTCACGGAGAAGGCGCAGAGCACAAATGGCGTTGACAGAATCCCTTACAGCTGGGGAAAGTTTTTAGCGAACTATTTTGAACCTTCAGCAGCAGCACCTGCAGCGATAGAAAGTTGTCAATGGAAAGCATCACAAGCTGCTTTTGTTGTTCACAGTCAAGCACCAAAGAAGACAGGTTAATCAAGGATTTTGTACTCAAATTACAGCTAATTGGTAAGCATTCTACTCAGATGACGTATCTAAGTTCTTTCCCTCTTTTTCACTTTGAGTAGGCTTGGTTGGGAACATTATAAGCTCTCAGGCCTCAGCGTATAAGTATGTATATATATATATATATATACATATTTATTTATTCATAGTTACTTCAATATCATGACTATGCGATGTTTTTTGAAAGAGAATTGATTTTTTACACAGACCTAGACTCGCCACTTTGTTCTTGTGCTTTTTGGAGGTCGTTCTCAGATTCGACGTCTTGCAGATTGTGGACGAATAACTTTTATGTAAAACGATTGAATTCTGTCTATATTTTCAGGTTAACGTGTTTGATTTTGCTGGATGAGACGAAATGAATGAAACACTCTACATCGATTGTGTTTGAGTGTAATGATTTCATCAGTAGATATTTTTGCACCTGTCATGCCATGCCTCCTGCTGATTGAAAAGACCAGGTAAAATTTCAGTCTTAGGCGGAGTTTTCTCAGCTAAATAATTACTATTTATCTAAAATAATTTTAAACTTGAGAAAATTAAGAATACTATCACCAGTACTAGTGAGCACTAACGCTTGCCCGGAATGTTCATCCAGTGAGCACTATTTACCATGGTGGATTCGTTTTCCTTTACAGTTTCTAGTACAGAATGCCGAGACACCAGCGACCCAGCTGAGAAAGCAGCAATAGATAGTAGATTTACCGCAAAAGGTCGAGATTGGTGGATTCCTCATTGCGATTGAATACGTATGGTTCCCACTGGCACCCGCCTCACTTGGACTTGGAGCCTGAAGAAGTCGAGGATGACGTTCCAGAGCGCTCCATACTCTAAGGCCGATAATGGAGATCCCTTAGATGCAGGTCTGAGGAGAGGAAAGACATTCAAGTCGTTTAAATCAACACAAATAGGAGAAGGACCAAATGCAGAAGCTTTTGATTGTCAGTAGTTGTTTCTAAAATTGACCCGCAATTCCAAACCCGCTTAGGTTTCATTTTCTTGGGTTTTCATTTGTGTTTTTTTGTATGACTGTGTAGTTTCCATCTTTTTCTTTACGCTATAGAGTCCCTACACCTCTATTGTTGAATAACTAGCTTGGGTACTTCTTCGGCCTCCTAAATTTACCTCTCATCAATTTTAGCCCGAACAATGTCTACTGAATGTACTGAACATTTATATCCTGTTCAGGGTTCTGCAGATTCAGATGAACCCAAGATGAGGAAGAAAGGGGATGGATGTGGAACCATGCAGAAGAAGAAGACGATGGGAAACGGAATGGCCGAGAAAACGACGAGTGGATCTTGTGACGAAGTGGGTAACGATGTGAAAGGGATCGCGGAAATTTTTAAGTCGAATAGATTTGGAATAATAGGTTCGATCCTTCCGTAATTTCCGGGATATGCGTAGTTACGTGTAATTCTACCTGTTTTATATGCGGGATAAACATTAGAGTTGAATTTGTGAAACAATGGATATGCCTTGGTTGAAGGATATCAGGCCGTTGCTAAAGACCAAAACGATGAGCATGACGTAATTGCACATGAAGACAGGGAATGTTTGTACGAAATTGAAGATGGGGTGCTGTGAACAAGCGTGGTGTCTCGGGCAGTAGATCTGCAGAGGAAGGATTCTGCTACTATAAAAGTTTCGGCCAAACTGAGGGCCACAGAAGGATAATGGAGCAGACGTCATTCGACTGCCACCATGAATGTGTTTGAGATGAATCCACACCGAAACTGTCGATTCCCCATCGCATTGGCTGAAGTGATGTACTAATATTTCTTGCATCTTTCAATGACAATACTGTGATCTAATGTTTCTTACCTCTAATGAAAACACCTGATTGATGGAATTAAGGTAATGTTGAAAACCTTCATTTTGGGTCTGACGTTTTTAAGCATAAGCGGCAACTGCACTATTTGAGCCACTGGAAACCCCCCAGCATGTCTACTTGTTGGGGATCATGTAGGATGTTACAAGATTTGAGAATATCAGGTTTTCCAAAGTCTTGATGTTGCGGATCATTTTGATCAAGGCTGTTTGTGCAGATATCATGGTTTCTTAGATGAATGTACGAACGATTATACAGAATATTGGTAAGAGACTGTGAGCTGGTTGCTGTTGACGTGCCATCCCTGGTGACTTACAGCAGCGACTGGCAGGTGCTCTTTTGGAGCTTGAAGGGCATGCTCTCCCTTCACTGGTGCATCGTTTGCTCATCACACCCAGCCTACGAAAGAACAAATTTCCTCTCGGGTTGTTATATAGGTCATTATAATATGTATATATATATATATATATATATAGAAATGATCATAATTTTAGTTCCAATTTATCAATGTAATAAAAAGTTACAATAACTATGATTACTCATGAGTGTCTTGAATGTTGACTTTGGCACACTGACTAATAGGTCGAAAAAATTTTCTCACAATTTATCAATGTAATAATCCTCGTTGGCTCCTACTTGGCATCCAGCTCTTTGACGGATGATTCGAACTCCTGGGTGGACTTCAGCTCCAGATAAATAATACTTTGTGAGATCAAATCGAAGGAAGTACACAGCAGTCCCATCATGATCTAAAGGTCTTCAGTGAAGAATATCGTGGAATGTGGAGTGTGTCATCGCAAGCTAGCACAAGGGTCTTTCACCTAACCCAAGCATTTGGGGCTCCGCCTTCATCCAGAAATTGACAGGTTGTGTAAATATCATACTTAGATATCGCCCGTTGCCGATGCACATGAAACTTTGAATCTCCGGCGTCGGAACTCAACTTTATAATGAGGACTCGAATATTACGGTGCAATAATTGATTGTGTACGAACCAAACTTGCCTTTTCCCATCACTGCAGTTTTCAGACTATAATAATTAAAGACAGCAGGGCAAGTGGATTTAGATTGCTGTTCATCTGCCGCTAAGAGGGCTTCTAAATATTCACTGCTGCCATCTCTTGCTCCTACAAGTTGTGACCTCATGCTGCCTCGCAGCCGAAGTAAGCCATGATATCATAGACCTGATCCGTGTCCTCGTAATGTGTTACAATTGATATATCTCTTGAAAGATGATGTCACAACAAACACGGAACCAAGTTACTGTTTTAGCCCTTAAAGTGTGCTTTATTGCTGCGATGTTGCGCTCTCTAGCCTTCCAGAGTGCTTAACCTCCTGTGGAAGGAAAGTTGAAGCTTTGACTAGCAATTCAGCTTGTTTTCAACTGAATGAGAGCTAGAACTATCTTTTCAAATAATATTGTGCAGGCTAGGGCTGAGTTGAAACAGGTATACCGTCGGTCATAAACTCCCAACTTGAGCCAGCTATAGTGGCTTGCATGCCCAGAAATCGGACGACACGGATCATATTGATGGCAACTTCTGGAATAAAGAAGTGCATTTGGTTACTGGAGGAAACTTTTGTTTCCGTTGCACTCTGAGAAAATTAGAATCAACAATTAACGTCCTTTATTTCAAGAAGAATACTGCAACAATTCAATTTGAACACTACCTCCACACTCTATTTTGGAGAAGTTATTCTTTTTACTAGGGACTTACAAGTTACTAAAATCCCACTAAAGAATAACTTTCTAATTTACATTATGTTTGGAGTAATACTCCTACTTCAAATGGAAAAGTTTAAGTACAGTCCAAAGTAAGAATAGCTTGTAGTTGTTTGAATTTCTCAGGTATTAAGGCTTTGGTAAAAATATCTGCAAGATTGGCATTGGAAGAAAAGTAATCAATTTGTAACACTTGATTCTTGACTCGTTCTTTAAGCATGTAATATTTAATATCAACATGTTTGATTATTGAATGAAATTTTGGATTAAGAGGAAGTTGAATTGTACTCTGAAAGTTAGAGTAAAGAATAGTTAGTTTATTTTGAAGAAATCCAAGATCTTTAATGATACAATGGCACCATATAATTTCTTCAGATGTCATATATGACGCTATATTTTCTGAATAAGTAATATTGTCGATTCAACATTCTTGTTTCTTTGAGCTCCAACTGGCAAGTGCACCATGTAAAAATAATAACCATTGCGTGATCAAAATCAACAGCATAATCAACATTCACATAGATAGTAAGAAATTTTGAAGACGTTGTTCCACCATATATGAGTTTAAAATTAAGTGTACTGCAAATATACTAAATGGTTTTTTTAATAGTGCAGTAATGGGTATGAGTAAAATTTGATTTAAAACAAGCAATAATGTTCATCAAATAAGAAATGTCTAGCCTAGTTCCTATCAATGCAAATTGTAGATTACCAAAAGCATTAACAAAAGGATATATATAGAAAAAGCTTGGTATCAGTAAAGTTAAGATGTCGAAGTGAAGAATTCAACTTAGTTAAAGTAGATGTAGGAGAGGAATCTTGTATTCCATAATTACAAAGAATGCATTCTAAATATGCTAGTTGGTGAAGATAAATGGAACAAGATTATTAATCATGTTCTATTTGTAATTTGACAGACTTCAGAGTCATTGACTTTTGTTTGAAATACATCGTTCAAAGTCATTAAGATGTAGTCAAGAAGCTAGTTTCTTGCTAGCAGCAGAATTTGTCATCAACAAAAATAAGAACAATAAGTTTATTGTTTGTATCAAAGTGATAAACACATGTATTTGCATTGTTTTGCTTAAGTAGACAAGTTGTAAGAAACTAACTTATATATACATTTGTGCCAAGCTTGGCTAGCTTGCCACAAGCCATATAAGGCCTTTTTAAGCTGGTAGATCTTATGTGGATAGTCAAAATTTTCAAAATCAAGAGCTTAATGCGTGTAGGTTTCTTCTCCAAGTTGTCCATATAAGAAAGTAATTTTAATGTCGAATTGTCTAATATTCATGTCTTCTTATATATAGAAATAGATAGAACTAAAAAAATAGAATTTTACTTCAATATTGGTGAGTACGTTTCACTGAAGTTGACTCTGTATTTTTGGGAATATTACTTAGCTAATAATCAAGCTTTAAATCTGTCAATGATTCTATTGTCTTTTATTTTTAATACATATATTCATTTACAATAGATAGCTTTGTGAATGAAAGACATGCTGGTAAGTTTCCATGTATCATTTTCTATAAGAGACTTATACTCTTTTAGCATACCTTTCCTTTAGAGCAAAAAATGTTGAGAATCAATTGCTCATTGATAACTTTGAGATATCACTGGTGTAATTACAGTTGATAAGTTGGAAGAAGAAAAAGATGAAGCTGAAAGTAACGTTAAAACAAAATTAGTTGAAGTATATTGCGAATTGGTATTAGAGTAACCATATTGTTTAAGTGGTTTACAATTGCATTGAAGATCTACAATCAGAGTTTTTGAGTGCTTGAGAGATTTTGATGATTATTGTAAATCACTATGATAGTGATTTTGAGATTGATGTAAGTCAGAGTCATCATGAATTGCATTAATGGGATGCATGGAAGTATCTGTAGTTTGTAATATATTCTGGCCGTCTTGTAGATAAATAGAATTCAAATTGTCTTGTGAATTACTTGACGTTGCAAGTATGACTTAGTATGGATTCAAAAAGTCTGATGCAGTGGAATCTGAAGTGGATTGATTTAAAGATGATCGTTGATTTGTTTTTGTATCCAAAAGAGGGTTTTGATGAAATCAATGGAATGGTTCTTCTATAGGCACTGTTCTAGAAAGTGCAGAATAAGTGTAGATAAGTTTATAGGCATTGGACAGGGTTGCTAATATCATGGTGCCCTAATTGAATAGAATGTTGCAGCTTAGTTTAATTTTTTTTTGTTGTATGTCCCAGATTCTGTAGCCTTTAGACTTGTCAAAATAACCAAGAAATAAGCCTTGTTGATTCTCTGGATTGATTTTTTTGCTTAATTTATCAAGAATATGAGTAAATACTGGACAGCCAAAAGGTAGCATGTGAGCTAAGGAGGGCTTTTGTCCAATGTAAGCTTTGATAGGTATTCCAGTGGGAAGTAGTTGTGAACAAGTTTGATTAAGAGTATGAATGATGTTGTCCAGAGCCTTTGCCTAAAATGTGAGATCTAAGCAAGCATGGTATATTGAGTTGTGTACTGTATCCATAATTATTCAATTGTCTCTTTCAAATACAACATTCTGCTTGGATGTGTATGGAATGGTTAATTCATGTTTGATACCTTTGGTATGTAAACAGTCATTGAAATATTGATTGCAGTATTCATTGGCATTAATTGTTTGTAAGATGAGCACTTTGTGGCCTGTGTTACTAAGTACAGCTTTGCAAACTGTTTGAAAACATGTGAGAGCATCAAATTTATGAGGTATGCAATATACAATCCAATATCTAATACAGTTGTCTTAGAAGAGAATATAGTATAAAGAGCCTTTGTTTAAAGATATGCTCATAGGGCCACAAATATCATTGTATATCAACTTGCTAGGAAGTGAAGCTCAAATTGAATTTAGATTTTTAGAAAAAGATGTACAATGAGTTTTGCCAAATATACAATTGGAACAAATGCAGGTGGATTTGTATATATCAGTAACAGATCCATTGATTGCCATGTGTTTAATCATATCGTAATGCAAGTGACCAAGTTATAAGTGCCAGGTTTGTTAATCTTGAAGCTCCTTAGAGTGAGAAGTATTTTTGTATGAAGCAGGAGAAAGAACAAAAAAATTTAAAATGTATGAACCTTGTAACATTTGGATTGTCATGACAAGATTGTTTGCTTAAATAAACTCATATGAATCATCTTTTCAGATTGTGATTTTTTTTTTTCTTTTGCCTAGCAACCTTTGTGAGACTAAAAAGATTGCTTCCAAAATCAATAATGTGTAATATGTTTTAAAATAAATAAACTTTGATTCTTGCAGGGAATTGAACAAGAATTTTAATATTTCCAGTATCAGTTACATGACATTTGTGACCAGTTAGAGTTCCAATTGGCCAAATAATATGTTGTGGAAGTGGTTGATATGTATCAAACCAATGTAACTTGTCCCTCATATGCTCAATAGTCCCACTGTCAGCTATCCATCCTTCAAAGAAACCTTCTGATGTGAGTGCATTATATGCATGTGATACCTCTATTAAAAAACCCAAATAATGTTGTTCTTAGCTATATAATATAATTTTATCAGGTTGTTCATGCTTATAGCTAGGATGATAACAACCTAAATAAGTATAGCCAGATTGAAGAGGCAATGACAATTTTTCATTCAAATAAAAATAATCCATGTAAGGATATTGTTCAGATAAATCAAGAGTGTTTGCAAGAGATGCTTAAGCACACGATTGAGGGTTCGATTGAATTGATCTAGTAGTTGACTCAAGAAAAGAGTGCAGACATTTTTGTCTCCAATGGCCAAGAAGTCCACAATGATTACAATGCATGCAACATTTCATCTCAGCAATTTCAATGCTCTGAGGATTTTGTGAACGAGCAAATATATATGAGTTTTAGTCTTAATGTTGCTTAAATTGAAAGAAAGGTGTAGTAAGTCAAGGAGGTAGAAATTGGTGACCATGGAATGATACAAGTTGAAACTGTGAAAACTGAAATGAATTATTAGAAGTGCTTGAATAACCAAATGGTGACATACTTGGATAGAGCTGTTATTGTTGATTATTTCCATTGGAAGAATTTGTTCTTTGACTTCCACTAGTGAAGAAGTGTCCATGGCTTTTGTAATGGGCCATAGTTATAAGGGCTATTTCTTGTTGAATTATGCTCAATATATATATATATATATATATATATATACATATATACATATATATACTTTTTAATTGTGCAACAAAAGGTTATGGGCCCAAGCTTATGCTTAAATGGGTGAAGCACATTAGAATCAACAATTAATGCTCTTTATTTCAAGAAGAATACTACAACAATACAATTCAAACACTACCTCCACATTATATTATTGAGAAGTTAGTATTTTGTAAATCTAGTAATGAATAGCAAGTGTTAGGATATCAATTAGGAATCCTTATTGAAATTATTTATAATTTCATGATCCTAAACCTTAAAGTTATCTATAGTCCTTGAGGGCAACCAATTACTAGTATTTAAAGCTTTGAATGTGAAATATTTAAATGCTAGAATCAACAACAAAGAAATTTATCTCTAGAATTGTTAGTTGTAAAATTCCTAAATAAAATATTTAGTATGTTTTAAGGTGGGCAATCTTAGAATTGTAATAAAGATCCTCAAGAACAACATGTTATTTTTCAAATAGATGGAAAAATATAATGTGTTTGGTAGTACAATCTTAGAAGAGACTTTTTATGCCTATTCATATTACTAGAGATAGGTACTATATTTTATATTGTGCAGAATGTATTCTTTAAAGATAGTTATAAAGGTCTAAAAAATGATTAAATAACATGATGTTGTTCTTGCCATAGTCTAAAATATCATTAATGGTTGAAAGAACTCATCAACTAGATTTGTGCATAACATATTTCAAAGTTTGTGGTTTACACCATTTAAAAGAATTCTTAGACTTCATTAGTTATTAAAGTAATTTGACCACTCTTTGTAAAACTTATTGCATAGAAGATAGAATAATGTGACAAATATTAATATTACTCAAGTAACTATAAATAAACAAAAGTAAATCAAAGTTGATAGTAACATGTTGAAAAGATGATATCTTTCTAAAGAAGCTTTGAGGAAATGTTTTAGATGCATATTAAATGTTCAGACTTTTCTAGATATGAAATGTGGCTATTGAAATTTGTCATACATATTTTTTACTTTTAGAAAGTTTTATTGTGAGCAATCTACATCTTAACCCTCAGACCACTAGCCTTGCCATCCTTGGTAAGGATCTACTAGACGTACTTTGTATATATATATATATATATATATGTATTTCAAATATATAATATTTAAAAATGTCTTTAATAAGTAATAGATGAGGACTATCCTTTGTGTGGCTATGGGATAGCAAGGACTTTCCCACATTGTTTTTGGTTTTGTTACTGTGAAATAAGAATGTAGGATTTTGCTCTCACAATACTACTGAGGATGACTCACAAGCCTTCAAAGACAGGTTATTGGTATTTGTGGACAAAATCCCCAAAATATTCTCGAAGTTTTTTACTGTTTGGGCTATGCTTTGAGGGTTGATTACCTGGAGTATCTGGATTGAGAGGAATAATTTTGTGTTCAACATGGAAGATTGGCTATGTGAGAAAATCCAAGCACTAATCTGGGAGGGCATCCTGGACTGTGCACAAATACTGTATCAAAAGATCTTGGAAAGGAAGCCTTCAACTCTTGAGCAGGCTTTACTACAGGACTTATATCAAATCTGGGATGCTAGATTTATAATGTTCTCCTACTCTAATTCTACAGTTACATGGTGCTCTACTAGGCTCAAGCCAATTTTCTTTTTCTATTAAGCTGCGTTTAGTCTGCCATCCTGGGAACTCTCTGAAGTTTCTTTTTTGCAGAAGAATTTCCATGTACTTCAAAAAAAACTAAGCTTGATTAGAATGGATCATATTTTAGAGCGGTGAACCTTTAAGGGTTAACTAGTAATAATTATGCAAATAAATTTTCATTCTTTACACAATAATCATGCGAATAAAACCATTCTATTCATAATGTTAATATGCTTAAACAAAGATCACAACTTCTGATTATCTACAAAGTACACATACATGCAAATATTTAAGGAAGTATATAACCAACGTATTAGTAAAGATGGAAGGTTCAAATAATACTCTCCTCCAAATGAGCCATATAAGTTTGACCACTCCATACCATACTATCACCACAATGATAGATTGATTGGCATACCCTGTAAAGGCTCCACCAAAAACTTACAACAATATTTCACAAAAGCCCACAAATGGACCATTAGGACTTAAATGACTGATGCATGGTCCCATGCTAGCTTGAGCACAGGTTCTATCTGCTAGAGAATGTGGACTCCCAGTTTCACAGTATCATCTTCGGTAGGGTTGACATTCAAAAGCCATTGGCGGTACTCGTTTGGAAGTTCTTTGACGCCCAATACAAATGCACCATAACCAGGCATATCTTTTTGTTCAGTATAATTACACTCCAGTCTTTTTGCACAGAAAGCATATTCTAGAGCTCCCTTATTATCCTTCATCAAATGCTTGAGAAAACTGGTCTGGATTAGACAGTCATAATCCTCCCCATGTGCCAATTCTTCTTCAAATTGTTTTAGAGCTTTGTCATACTCGCCCATGAGTCTCAATATCACGGCTCTTTCCTGCCTGATTAACCCCTCGCTTGCCTTCAAACATTGTATCATCTTTTCATCATACCCGCATCTGTTAGCATTTTGAATGTATTCAGTAATCTTATTGGCATACTCTAGAGCAGTTTGATAATCGCCCTTCCTAGCCAGTGTGTACATACGACGGCACCTACATGCAAACAACCAGCACCCACATATATTAGAAGAAATAATTGTTAGTAGATACGAATGTTGTATTGCATTTGCAAAGCGAGTCACTGGAAAGCATAGAGAAATTGTGTGGACGCACACTGCACAAATATGATTCATACCTGAAACAAAATATCAACAAAGATTTAGGACAACGTTTCTCCAGCTGAATCTCGATGTTTGATGACTGTTCGAACGGCAAAACTGTATAAAACTCTTCACCTAGTGCAATGACCTCCTCAGAGATGGAAGAAGCACGGTAGAAATTCAGCAGGTGTTCCATAGCAACGATGGCACTGACGAGACCTTCCTCTACAAGCACACATGCGTTGTCCACGGATGCAAGGAAATTGTCCACAGCATTCAACGCCTTCAAGCTCTCAAACTTCACAGTATCGTCTTCCCAATATCGCCTGAAGCTCAGTCGCAACAACTCAATTTTCTGACTCGCATTCTTTGTCCATATAGGCTCCTCGGGAAATTGAACAGGGATTGGATCCCAAAAATGCGACGATGATGCCCCTGTAGTGTCGACAGCGTTCAAAAGCCACTGGCGATACTCTTCAGGAAGTGTTCTATAGCTCAATGTGAACGCACCATAGCCAGGCTCACTGAACTCCGAGATTTTCTCATATTTTTTGGCACGGAGTGCATATTCCAGTGCTCCGCTTCTATCGTGCATTAGATACTTGAGATAGCTGATCTGGGTTAGGCATTCATATGAATCTTCTCCGTTTGCCAACATAACATCAAATAATTTTAGAGCTTCTCCATGTTCGCCCATGAGTCTCAGAATAATAGCTCTATTTAGCTGCCATATTTGTGACATATTTGTGATGTTTCCATGTTTTCCACAAGTTATCATCTTGTTGGCATAGTCAGCAGCTATTAGATAACTGCCCTTCACGGCTTGAGTGTACATTATTTTATTCCTGCATCCAAACAATCACCAAACTGAATCTTGTTAGAAGAGAAACATGTCAGTAAATTCATTCACATTGTTGAATTTGCAAATGGTGTTTCTAAACCAAAACCAATAAAACTAACACCATCAGTATGTGTTTCTAGGTGAACTGTAATCTAGGGAACCAAAACCAACGTGCAGTTGGTTTTGGGTGTGTCTACCTGACTTTCAACAATTATAGGTGATCGATATGAAAAGCTAACGTAAAACAGGCGTCAAGTTCAACAAAAAATAGTCTGATACAAGCTGCTTCATACCTGAAACTATACAAAACCCTGCAATCAGCCGTACGGTTCATCAACTCAAGCTCGATCTTTTCTAACCATTCGAAGGGCAATAGCGTGAAAAATTCTTCAGATAATTGAATGCTCCCTTCATAGAAGGGACTACCATGTGAGAGATGTTGCAGGCTATGAACAGCGAAGACGGCATCAACTATAGCTCCATCTTCAAGCGAAAATTCGTTGGACACTGCTTCCAAGACATTGTTCACTGTTGTCAACGCATTCAAGAGATGCACCTTTGCATCCTCGGTTTTTAAGCAATTATACTCACATCTCAGCTTCTCAGCCCGTCGTTTTGCTAAAAGAGCCTTCCTTGCACTCTCTGTTAACATCTCTTTGGGAAGTTGAACAGTGGGTAGTCCCCAAACTAGAAATGGACCCCACTCAAAAACGTTGTTTGCACTCTCCGAGTCGGGATCGTTCGACAGCTGTAACATTGCAGATTGGAGAGCAGTAGCAACATCCTGCCCATGTTGCATTCGCTCATAAAAAGCTTTCATCAACCTCGGAGACCCGACATCGGAGACTTTCCATTGTGATACTACTGCGGCGGGAACCCCTGCTATCATCATCGCACGAGGCAAGTTGACCTCACCGTCGCTATAGCCCTGCAGGAAACAATGCAAAAGGTGGCAATGTTACTAGGTCCAAAGGAAGGTGACAAGCATCATGCAGCACACAGAAATCATGACGTACCAGAAAATATCTCTAAACCACTAGTTCAGCATGAGTGATCGGAGGAAGTGGATAAGTTTGAAAGGCTCACACATTCTACTGAAATAGCGGCAAAATTACCTGCCCTCGTAGAGAATTGCACGCACTCAGGACCACGAGGCGCGTTCGCCACTGGAATCCACCTTTGATAATATCCTCTGAAGAAAGCATGTCCCCCGCAGCGGACGACCTGTAACCATCTGGCGCTCTTGTAACGGCACCCACTTCACCGAATGCGCTTGCAGGTCTGAACTCACCAACTCTAGATGATTGTGCTTCAGATTTAAGCTCCTTCTCCGATTCTGCAGTTTGAGATTGGTTAGTTCCCACGTCATAGCTGCTTGGGTCTGGAATTAAGAGGTCATGACACAGCCAATCACAGACGAATTCCTTTGCATCACCTGCGATAACCAATTAATGTAGTCAACAATTTGAAAGTGGCGAATATTCACCAGTGGTAGGCCCCTTGTAGGACCGTTCTGAATCCTCAGGAAGCTTCGCAAATTGCAAAGAGCCCGTCTTGTATTCCTTTTCTTGGTCGACATCGTTATCCCCTCGGCCCGTTTTGCTCCAGTGGCCATGAACTCCTAAGTGCATAAACGCGAACACATGCTTCTCTTTGGAGCAGCTGGCCTCCTGGACCAGCTTCAAAAAGTTGGCACGGGTAGCCTCTTCTTGCTCAAGTGTCTTCACTCGACCTGGGAAAGATGAATGAAGATACTCCAGTTCTTTTCGTGTCCCAGGGAGAGGATTCTTCTCATAGGCAGCGTTTCCCACGGCCAAGATACACCCATCTGGTTTCAATGGGGATTTATCAAGCTCGCGGAGTCGCCGTTCGCAGTGCTGTAGCACTCGCAGAGACGGAGAGATTGCGATTGGGTGTAGTTGGAAGAGATATTTCTGGGTTCTTTTATTTCGAAGGAGAGCAAATGGCACCCTGTATAGAATCTGCAAGCATTCATGTATGCCGGTCAAGGGCGATTATAGATTATTTGAATGTTCCAGACTCTCAAACCTCCTGATCTGCCGGGGGAATATACATATGTCCGCGACTAATCTGTCCAAATTGCGCTTTCTTTTAATATATGTTTCAGTTCGCAATCGACAACTGGGCATGAACTGAAGGGTACTTGAGATGGAAAAAGCATCACATACCTTGTCGGGCACGAAGACAATTGTCGCTTTCGGATCCAGGTGCGTGAACATAGCGCTTTGGGAGAAGGGTTCAATGAGTAAATCATACAATTTCTCAAGAACTCTGTGCAGCTCCGCCACGACACCATCCTCAAGTCGCCTCGGCAGAGGTTTTGTGTTACAAAATTTCTCTACCATCTCGTAAAATTTGTTTAGCAACTCCTCTACTTGTTTATCGAATCGACCATCAACTGCGCACGAGTCGTTTGACACATGCACACTCTGGATGAACTCAGTTTGTTCCTGGCCAACCAATAAAGCCCTTCATGTATTGAAACCATCAACTTCTTCATCAATGCCCATCTTGGACCAGCAATTAGAAAAAGCAGTTTAGGCAGCCACTCCAATTATACATCAGTTTCAAACTGTTTCCGCCTGCCTACAGAAGAAGGTCCAAGACTTACATTTGTCATGAACGCCTTTGGCGCTGTGTCAAAATATGTTACATACGATTCGTTAGCCTGGATCGCGTACTCGATAAATAGAGTCTTTGCTTTGCAAGCCGACGTGCACGATCGGATCGAGGACAAGGCTGCCTGCAATGGAAAAGAAACCACATTTCATCATAAATGTGAGATCCAGTGTACATCGGTTATCCCACTTAGGATACATAACTCCAAATCCTCAAACAAATCCAACGTATAGATGCAATGATTACTGACGTTAATTAACCAGATGCTAGTGTATATGTCTCAAGGGTTTTTCGTGATCGCTGTTTGTAATGAACATTTCTTCTGAGGTTATGCATACAAGGTACAAAGCTGGGGTGGCATGGAGCAAGAGCAATCAACCTGCTCATCTTTGTCAAACTCAATCAGCTCCTTCCTCAAGAAGTCTGGATTTTCTCCACGTCTCATATTATACCATGATCCGAGTTGAGCCAGAAGAGTTCGCGCGCGGCCTCTCTCTACCCACACCAGAGCGCTAGTGACGAAGGCTCTAACTAAAGCTCGATAAACAAGAAGGTTTGAGTGGTTGCTTCCCACTAAGCATTTCAACCCATAGTCAGCTCCTTCAGATGAATCGTAGCTTTCCAATATTCTTTTAAGTTGATCGCACATTTGCAAAATTTCAAAAAGGTAACACAATATTGAGTCGTGAACACTTCTCTGCGACTCCAAGAGTTTCAACCAGCCAACTTCTTTTGAGGCTCCTGGGGTGGACCAGTTATGAAGCAACTCGGAGAATATGTCAATAGAACGCTTCCAGAGGCGATATGTTTTGAGCGTGTCCGAAAGATAGTGACGCTTGTGTTCACCTGGCTCGCAAGGATCCCTGAGACACGAGATCACCGCTTGAATGCACTCCGACACCGGCAAGGTGAGTTGCAGGTTGAATTCTGAATGCCATGCGCACCAAATCTACTGATTCAAATATCAAACATCAGACTGAACTTGATATACCAACAGATCTTACAGTACTGCTAGTCAATCATTTGCTCCAGGAAAAACATCGAAAAATGAAAGTAAATGCTGAAAATCAAATCAATTTTGGTGTCATCTACTAGCATCGGCGAGATTTCCACTCTGTTACTCTTTTAGTTTCCACTCAAAGTAAGTGCATCATTCCACTCAGCTTGTATTCTAACTAGTGAATAGTTAAATTGTTTACCTTCTTTTAGCCAGAGGTATGATTGTGAAGATGCTCTTTCTCCTCCTAGATTATCTTCGCAGGCTCCTTTGACCTTCTGCTGGCATTTATACTTAGATCGTATACCAATCATTTTGGCATATTGCTGGAAAAGTTTGGCAGTCAGTTGGCGATCATCTAGTAAATCTTCGCTAACATCAAGTAAAACCTCCTGCCTCTCACAAAGAGACTCCAATTTTTCTGGAGATATTTGAGGATGCAATTGAAATTTGATTTCTGGTCTGTTAAGATACTCTAAGAATCTGGACAATTCACCCCTGCGTCCTTTACGATTCAGATCGATTTGTTTGAAAATCGCTAAAGCTTCACTATACCTGCACATCATGCACCATATGCATCACTTGCAATCCAAATGGTAGTGTCTTCGTGTAACTTCCCAATGTCAAAATTGACTAACTGCTCAACATCAATAGAACGAACATCAATCATGAAGTGAACACTACCCGGTCCTAATTTTCAAAAAGATGACACAGGGTTAGTGAAGACGTACCGGTTGTTTTCCATCAAATATATTATGGTCTCCAATTGTCGACCATGAGGGATCAATCCAATATAATCTTGTCTGTGAGTTTCAACACGATCCGATCCTCGATGCCATTCCTCTTCGATCTGCAATTTGCGAGACTCGGAAAGGCGGACAATTTTAAAAACTCCATAGCCATCTCCAACGTTTCTCAATTCCCTCAATCGAAAATCTACATCTCTCACACATGCGTCGATACCTTTTGGTTTAAGGTATTCGATCCTCTCGTACCCCAGTTCTGTAACCATTAGGTCGTTGTCCTTAACACCCACAAGCATGTCTTTGAGCGCCTCAAGCAATATCGTAGCTCGTTTGTGGTTTCCTAGAATGAGGTGGAGATCTGCTGTGGGAGGGACGAGTTTGAACATTTCGCAGTAAAAGAACTCAGTGTCATCAGAAGTTCGAAAAAGGCTCCGGTAATGTTCAAGAAAATCACAAAAATCGTCACCCCACTTGCTCACATGTTCAACCTTCGCATAATCGTGCAAAGGAACGTCAAGAATCTCCCGTTCGATGATGAGAAGGACGGTTTCCAGGGGGGAAAGAGTCCACTGGTACAGCAATTTCAATGCCTCCTCCTTACTGGAATCGTCTATATCGGAAATATAATCACCCCACTCATCAAATGTAACCGTGCAATTCTCTCCAAGCCAGCTCCACTTCTCCAGCAGTCTTGAGAGGTGACGAATCAGGCGGGACTTATCAATTACTAATCCGTTCTCATCCTCAAAGGTCCCAATATTCAAGCAGAAAAGGAAACAGCTCACAGAAACAACGTTGGCAACGTGGAGACAACGAGCCACAGTTTCAAGTGTAAGGTCAAACAATCCTTCCCTGTGGTGACAGATCATGGCAGTCGGTGAGGCTTCGAGCCACAGCTTGACATCCTGGCATACGTTATGATCAAATGACTCTACAGTTTCACTGCACCACTTGAACAAATCTTGCTCACTTTCAAAGTTTGTACTTAACCGAGGACTACCCTTCACTAGAATGAAAGTGTTCCATAAATATGGGCCACCTGCATTCCTGGTAAACCGCCTATCATTTACCTTACCAGATTCGACCATCTTAGTGATCCACTTACTTTGATCTTCACATTTGAAATCTGGATACGAGTTACAACTGATATCCATTGAATCTGGAGCCAAGATAAAGCGTTTCCTTTCAATGTACATGCTCTTGGGAAGGTCCCCGTCAAGATCATGCTGTGGAAACGCCATGATCTGACTTAGCAAGAAGCTCGTTGAATTGATTACCAGTTATCGCTGCACAAAAGCAATTCACAGACTTTCTCATAAACGTGAGCTCTGAAATGCAGGGAAATGTCTTACGATTCATAATTCTTGTTGCACAACAGAACTGTAAATTTTTGGTGTGCGCACATTTAAATTACAACACAGATTATAGATGAACACTACCGTTGATCTTGAAGGGGATTAGAGTATACTTTGAACATCAGTACAGCCATGACCTTCTCATTTGTACGTGAAGAATGGACGCTGCTTTAGGAAGACTGTACAGACACTCATGAAAGGAATTGGAACTAGCAGCAATTAAGAAACAATCACCGTTTCCAAACCGTATCGACAACACACCTGTAACGTGAATGCGCCTTCTTCACTCAAGTTCGCTCGGTAAAACTCCAAGCTCCCCAACAACTGTAGCAGGCAAGCGCACAGTGCCGAGGCTTAGGTTTTTAAGTTCAGCCGATCTAGAACACAAAAAAGATCCAGGAACAACTCAGTTAGCTAGCAACTTAATTAGCAACGAGTAATTAACATCTCCAAGCGTCCCCACATGAATCTTCCAACACACGGATCTCTCTTATACAACCCAATACAAAGTGCCCCGGAAATTTCTCTCATTGCCTCACCACCACAAAAGATGACCAAGCAATGACCACTCGAAACAAAACATATGAAACCTTAGCCAGAGCGCCCCCTCCAGACCCCCAATTCAATGTCAAGGTGACGAAGATCAGGCATAACAGGAGTATGCTAGAGAATCCTAACAAACGGGCGACATAGAAAAAAAACGATGAGATGATCGTTTTGGGGAACATAGCGCTCCGACGAGAATAAGCTAGACAAAGAGGATACACATTAATATCATGCTCGTACTCTAATTAGACAACAATGTTTTGGCAACAACAAGATATCAGTAGTAGCTCTAAGTTCACAGATCCTTCATCATTTGATCCATGGATACCATCGAAGAGTTGGGTGCCAGGAATGGAATTACCCATCACCCGTAGATCAGATAGTCCTCATGAGGTGCCGCCGCTGTATACAATCGGCTGAGTAATCTATCCGCTTGAATCGAACTCCAACCCCCGATTCCTTTGAACTCTAGCACAATCTTCTGAAGCTAGGCACAAAGAGCAGTGTACTAGCGCGGACACGAACGGGAAGGAGCAGCGAGCAGTGGGGAGCAGTGAATCCTAAGCCCCACCCCTTAAGACAGCTTTCCGTGTATTTTACTAGGGCTTTCCAATCACAACTTGCACCCTCGATTCCAATACCTTGTGTGGCCGTGGTGGTTTTGTTTGTAAACTTGACAGAAAATACATTACTTGTAATTTTCGAACTAGCAGCACCACTGTAACATTCTGCATTATTTTTTTCATGGGCGGCAACTTGGGCAGCTAGGGCAATTTGGGCAACTTGGGCAACTTTAGGCAAGGGCAGTGGGTTTGATCAAACACCAGCCTTTCGGGTGTTCAGGCCCAAGAAGGCTCCAATTTCAAGGCCTTGAAAGTTTGCAGTTGAGATCATTACAATGTCTTATTTTCCTGAATCATAGGCCATGGTTGGGCCCCTGCCGTGCTCCGAAGACCAAAAAGGTGACTGCACCTAAAATGATTCATTTTTCGCTGGAGCTTAAATTAGGCAGAATCTGCAATAATCGAGCAAATTATCATGCATGTCTGATTCTGCAAAACGTTGACAAAACTATCTTGGCCCGCTTTGGACGAGGGGCCTATAGCCATTGACATTACATTTGCCCCTCTCTTTGACACTTGTCACGTCGAAAACGTCTAATTGATTTTGTTTGTTATTCGGTCCTTGACTCCCTGTCGTGCTGCTGTTGGTCTTCGTTCATTGTGATCATCCTTGTTTTGTCATCACCCTAGTGTCGGAACTCGCTTATATTTCTCTTCTCCAACCTTCGACTTTCACTTCACAGTGAGTGCATTTTGGATCTCTGTTATTTTGTTCATAGCATATCTCACCGCTTGTGTGGACACAGAGTAGGAACATACTGGACAACCTGGGATACCTTTGAACTTCTTGATATCATTCTTGTAGGCGTTCCATCTTCCACCATGTCCACCAGCGTGGCCAGTAAATCGGCCGAGGAGGTTCTCTACAGGCAGTTGAAGTACAGGGCTGTTGACCCCCTGGAGCACAACCTGCACTGCCTGGATGTGTTAATTAGGGGCGAACAGAATTTGGTTCGGAGGATGATGTCCAAGTTCTCAAGCAGTATGCGGCCATTGGTCAGAATGGGATCTATGCTAGACGTGATATTGATGGCAGACAAATCCAAATGGCGATCTGCTCATCAAGCTGATCTTGATCGTATGCGGAAAGGGTTAACTGACCTTGAGAATCCCCTGAAGCCCCGACCCTCACATCAGAACTTCGAGAAGAAGCGGTTGGTGAGCGCGAACCTATCCTTTTCGACTTCAAATAAAGTTGTCCTTTGGCTTGCGAGTGTCGCAGGCATTGACTTGGGCAACGAGGAGAGTCTGTCTTGCGCCATGGACGGTTTGACTGCTGCTTCAGTCGATTACACGAAAGTTTGCAGTTGGGTCATGGGTGGTGATTGGTTTCCGAACATACCATTCTTGCAAAAGATATGTTCTGATTGGTCAGAGAACACTAGGTATTCGCTCCCATTTTCACTTCTCTTTTGTTAGTAGATAATTGTGCAACTATAATGACGAATGTGAGAAGGTGGTGGCCATAAGTGTTTACCATGTAGAATAATGCTAAATTCATCTTGATGTAATAGTCAAATCGTTTGTAATGATGAGTCACGTAAAATGAATGTCTATAGCCATCTGATCATCTCAGGTCATTTGAGCAAGCTTGACGCTGGTTTTTATCCGAATCTAGCTAAGGGCTACAGTTCCATGTGAGCTCCAATTGAATCTGTTTCTTAATAGCTGATGGATAGGACAAACTCCCCATTGGATTGTTTGACAATGTCTAGTCGAAGTCAGTTGCCCAGTTGTTTGAAGGCTTTAAAGCTGAGCTGACATCTTTTCCATTGTGGATTCCTTTCCACATGATGCGATGATGCAGAAGCAAGGTAAAGCAGCTTTGGATTGTGACTGAAGTCCTGTACGCAACGAAATTCACCGTGACTGGACGGCGAGGACTATTCGGCAGGGTTATGGCGCACGCCACAATCGGAACTCCAGGAGTAGGTGTAGATGCGGGCGGAGATATTGGCGTGAAGTGCATCAATGAAACGACACTGGAGCTGAAGGCCAAGCGAAACAAACAATTTATTGTTGGGTATAGAACTATGAGAGTGGAGTTCAACCCTGATGGCAAGCCGGTACTAATGAGGAAGGCGGAAGACGGAGGCCTTCGTGGAGATGATGACGATTATTTGGCAGCGATGGGAGAGGACATCTTTGAGGTCGACGAATATGAAAGCAAAGTTCTCATCCCCCTGATAACGCCTACTGAACAAGAGCTTAATAACCCCCAGGCACAAGTTGTAGCACTCAATTCCGATGATCCAGAGGCAACAGGTGCATCGACCTGATTTTGAAGTAAAGTGCTTGACCTGCTTGACCTACTAGCTGCTTGGTCCTCGTGGAGCTGCACTATGTCGCAATGGCGGGGGGTGTGTCGAGTGCGGATTCGCGTGAGAAATTCGACCGATTTTGGCGTCAGAGAACCTTACCGACCTTGGCCCACTTACTATACCGATAGGTCCAATTGATATAATAATGGGTCCCTTGCTGTATTGAATCAAATTCAGCAACTGGTTGACAATCTAACTTTTCCATTGTTTTGACTTTTGAACAATGGATAGCTGTTTGACCTCTGAACAGAGGATACAGTTGTGGATGGTCATGGACTTACATGCCTGTTCAAAGTCTCTCCAAAGGGAGAGTGGCTGATAGATTCTAGCAATTTGATTAATGTAGAAGTGGAAATTGACCACTTGGGCTTCACACTCGAGCTCAAAGCCGAGAGGTAGACAGCTCCAGCATGCCTACGTGGCAAGCACTACTTGTGAGGTTTAGCGCCAAGAGTTTGGTCTTTGGTTGAGAGTTCGGGTCTTATAAGATTGGGAATCCAAACTCTCCTCAAGAGTCCAAATCTCTTCTCTAATTTCAATATATTCTAATACATTTCTAACATCCTAGACTTTGGACTATCAACCTGTTAGCATAGTTTGGGCTTTAGCTATGGTGTGAATTGTTTTTTTGTTCCATGCTGCAATTTCGATAGATAAGAGTAGCAAAAAAAAAAAAAAAACATATATATATATATATATATATATAATTTAATTAGTTCAAGAATAAAGAAATCAAAAAGAAAAACTGATGTTGCTGACTTGATCTTGGTCTTATAAAATATCCTCCTACCATCAATTGCTATATTTAACTCAACCATTGTCCATGTTTTTTGAATAATAACAAATCTTTGTCTTTTGCATTTGACATGTTGATTATCTCATCCATCCAAATATTTCTTCATATTTTTGTGTTTGTTGCTTAAATAGTATAGATTCTCAAAGTCATGTCATTTGAATTTTTATAAGCAATAAATTGTAACTAAGCCAAATAAAAATTTGTTCTTATAGAAATAAATTTATGAATCTATCAATTTTTTATATTTTATTTGTAATCAAATTTAAAAGAATTTATTGAATTCTTATTTTAAAGTTTTATAATAAAATATTAAAATAAAAACATAGATTTATTCATATAGTTATAATCTATAAATAGATATTTATAAATTCTATTATCAATTTATTTTGGAGTTAATATTTTAAATTGGCTTTTATAGAAAATTAATCCAAGTCCAAATATATATATAAGTAAAGAAAGTAATTTAAGTAATTAAAGACTAAACTAGTGATTATTGTACTATTAATCTTATCTGTAATGGAGCATGGATAAGATAATTATATTATTGATGCATAGAGATAAGTAATTGGGGTTGTTTTTGAAAAGATTTTAGAAGTTTTTAGAATTGGAGTCAAGTTGGTGGTCTATATAGAGCCTACTATAGAACATCCTACAAGAACTAAAGATAATTATCAAGATAGGGCCTACCTTCTAGAATCTTCTAAAACGGTAGTTATATTGATAGAGCCTACTATTAGAAACATTCTAGAAAGTTCTAGGATGATTGGACAAAGTACAAATAAGACTGGCCGAGGCCATTTGAGGCATTTGGTTAGGTATGGCTTCAATCTCTTTCTCTCTATAAATTTTGGTTTATATTTTTTGTTCTATTTTTTTTTATAGTATTTTGTCTTTCATGTTATATTCTATTTAATTCTGTTCAATTTTTTTCTAGTCCAATTTGTCCTACTTTGAAATGGAATTTATGTTGCTATCAACTAAAAGGATTTTAGATCTTTAAGAGAATTTAGTCTTTTGTTTCATTGATATCACAGCGAGTGTTAGTTTGTTCTTTAGTAATGTGTTAATAACTACTGACTAGTTAGAAGTCAATTATTGTAGTCATATCCATTATTATTTTAAGGCTACTACAAGCTACTTTTAAGAAAACAATTGGAAGGATAGAAGACATTATGGTAGCAAAGTTTAGCAAATAAATTGTAGCATAAGAGATATGGTGGAGCCATTCCAAATGGAAGCTCAAGTGCAACATCTTCTAGATGAGATAGCTATTATGCAAGGACAAGTGAAAGCTTCTAGGGTAAGAACATTGACATCTGCTAACTTTAAATTAAGGAAGCTCAAAACATATTTTGGAACTTCAAACTAAGAAGATGTATGCCAATAACTCTTCAGTGTGTGACAATACTTCAAACTATTTGAGGCAAGCACTATTTAAGAATTTATATATAACTAGGTATTTTAGAGATATGGCAGTCACTTGGTGGTCACATCGAGCTCAAAATTATAGAGCTCAAGGTAGATTTCATAACTAAGAGGAGTTTGAAACCAAACTTAAGAATCAATTTTAGCCCATCAATGTGGAAAAATTAGCATATGATTAATTGACTAACTTTATACAATCTAGGTCAATACAAGATTATGTCTTTTAATTCAAGTTCCTATGTCTTCAAATTAACAACTTTTTAGAGGCAAAGATGATGGTTTGGTTTGTATAAAGGTTGAAACCTGTGCTTCAGCAAGAAGTGAAATTAAAAGATTTGCAAACATTTGAAGAGGCAGTTAGGATTGCAAACAAGGTCAATGCTATAAATTTTAGAAACCATGGAGTACGACCTATAGGGAAAAATTCAAATCCACTATCCAATACTATGGTACAATAAGCAACGCTAATAAAAATTAATGCCTTGTAAGGACCGTTGACACCATAGGGACAACAAATATTGGCACAATAGGGACTATGTTATTACTATTAGGAGTAAGGCCACTAGATCAAAGATTTTTTGAAATATCAAAATTAAGGTACTAACAAATTAAGGTAGATTTACAATCTCAAAGCTTACAAAGATGATAAAGAAGTAGAGAAGGAAAACGAGGTTTCTTAATAAAAGTACCAAGGGCCAATATTGGAAATAGTTGTTGTTTCTTAAAGACAAATGGCATGACTTCAAACAACTATTAGAAGAATTGATTGGTATGTTTAGCGGATCAACTAAGAGGACAATTATGTCAAAAGCTTATAGATTGCAATTCTATGAAAAAATATATCTTGACTGAGTTTTTCAATCGACTTGGAATTAAAAAGAAGGTGATCAAAGAAGAAAGTATATATCTAGTTGATGACCAAAAGAACACATTAAGTGAGATATGTGAAATAGAAACCTTGAAGTTAAATGATACATAAGCCTGAAATGAGACATGTGAAATAGAAACCTTGAAGTTAAATGATACATATGCCTTAAGTAAGAAGTTCAAGGTAATAAAGCTTAGATATGACGTTGTCATATTGTAACATGATTATATGGTGAAAGATAACAATATGGATCTTATTATAGAAGAGCCAAATTAAAAAATAAAGTAAAAAAATATGAATAAAAGATAGGGAGGTAGTAAAACTTTTAGTAGTAATACTGCCTTTTTAGAAAGGTGACTTCTACTTACTTTGTAGGGCCATAAATAAAGTAAAATAAGGTAGATTGGAAAAATAAATGATATAGATATCTTTTGGAGGAAGTTAAGAGTAAATTCTAGCAAAAATTACATAGAAAAATTAGATATTGATATCCAAAGAGGGCCGGTTATAAACTAGGGTCAAAATCAGATCCAAAGGCACAAAACCAAGTTTCAACGACGATTCTGGGACTCTTTGGCAGATCAAAGAATGGGATTTGATAGGAGATTAGATAGGATTTTTATGAGTATTGGTTTTGAGTGATTTGCATTTGTATTGACTTTGTAAGAGCTTTGCAAACTCAAGGTTTGTTTTGGATGACTTGGATTTTATGAAATAAAATAGGATTTATATTTTGGGTGATTTCAAGAGTTTTGTAATAGATCTACAAGTAAAATTTTGTGGATTATTGGTTATAGTTGTCTTCAATATGTATTGTGAATGTGAGCTTAATCTAACGGTTGAATTGAGGATTATTGAGGTTTAAGCGGGTCAAGGTCTCAGAAAGTAGAATTTTAGGTCCAATAAGGGTTTGCAAGATTTCTTGCAATCTATTAGTTAGATTGGAGTGAAATCTATGTGAAAAGTTATTAGACTTATTTTTCTATGTGTATGAGAATTTTGAAATCAATCAAATAGTGAAAAAGAAAGATATTGGCTCTGGGAGATTGGCATCAAGGTTGGAGAAGGAGGCCGACACATACTCGAGCTTGTTTTTGAGGTTATCATCTATTTGGTAATTTCGATCTTTTTTTAAAAAAATTTTGCATGTTTTTAACTGAGTTTTTAAAAATTGTGAAAAAATTGAGTTAAGATCAACGGTATGTCACGGACATACATATAATTACCTATATGAATAGATAAAAGTATGTAAAAGTAGGTTAATTGTGTAATATCTTCTAGAGAAGCTTCTTAGAAGCTTCATAGATGCTGCTTTGACTTTATAGGAGTCTATAGTTGACTTTTAGGTTAGAAACTTGGTCAACAAGTTAGCCATGTGCCACGCATGTTGGAAGCTTAAAGAACAAGCTAACTACGTGGTCCATTCATAGAAAACTTGCCTTGCAAGCAAAGGCATGTGGCCTAGAAAGTCAACATATATTGGAGGTCTTATAGAACATCGCCACGTGGCTTCTAGTTAGATAGTATATATAGAGGCAAGAGTGAAGCCCTCTTCACTCTTGTCAACTCAATTCTTGCTTCTAGTCTAGTTTCAAGGGTCTCTAGTTTTCTTGTATTTTGGCAATAGCCATTCCAGTTTCTTTCTTAATATACATATTTCTATTTTGTCCTATTTCTTTTTGAGAAAAGTCTCACTTACTCTTTAGCTTTCATCGAATTCTTGTCCTTGACAACGGTTCAATCATTAATTATTGAGGTTTAAATTTATTGTGGAAATTACTAGGTTTTGGTTAGGATTTGGTTTATGATTTAGAGTTTGGTTAGAGTTTTATTTAGGGTTTAGGATTTAGTTTAGGATTTGGTTAGAGTTTGATTTAGGATTTAGGATTAGATTTAGAATTTAAGGTTTAGTTAGTGTTTGATTTAGGATTTAGGATTTGATTTAGGATTTAGGATTTTATTAGGATTTTTTTTGGATTTAAGATTTAATTAGTTTTGCCTAAAGTTTGAATAAAGTCTAATAGGATTTTAACTAGGATTAAATGTCAAAGACAAGAACTGGATGACAAAACAATTCAGACAAGTGAGCCTTCACTCAAAGAGAGGTAACAAAATATATATTGAAAGAGAAACTGGAATGGCTATTACCAAAAGACAAGAAAACTAAAGAGCCTTGAAACTAGACTAGAAGCAAGAAAAGAGTTCACAAGAGTGAAGAAGCCTTCAGTCTCGTGTCTATATATACTATCTAACTAGGGACTACGTGGCGACGTTCTATAGGACCTTCAATATGTGTTGACTTTGTAGGGCACATGCCTTCACTTATAAGGTAAGTTTTTTTACGTGTGGGCCATATAGTTAGCTTGATCTTCAAGCTAACAACATGTGTGGCACATGGCCAACTTATTGACCACGTTTCTAATCCAAAAAGTCAATTAAAGACACCTATGAAGTCAAAGCAGCGTCGAGGAAGTTTCTAAGAAGCTTCTATATT